GGCCCTGGCCTGGGCCTCAGCAGCCTCGGGGAGGAGCGCTTCCCAGTGGTGAACACGGCCTACGGGCGAGTGCGTGGTGTGCGACGTGAGCTCAACAACGAGATCCTGGGCCCAGTGGTGCAGTTCCCTGCCCGCAGAACCTGCACGGGGCGCTGCCCGCGATCATGCTGCCTGTGTGGTTCACGGACAACTTGGAGGCAGCCGCCACCTACGTGCAGAACCAGAGCGAGGACTGCCTGTACCTCAACCTCTACGTGCCCACTGAGGACGGTAAGGGCGCGGGCACCAGGCCGGGCATCCCGTGGACACAGCCCCCAAACACACATGCAGAACCTCCGGCGCTGGCACAGTCCGGGATGGGAGCTGGGCTTTGTGGAGACAGTGAGCAGACAGCATATCCCTGCCGGCTCTGCATGCCCTCCCGGGTGGGTTGGGTGCCGGCTGAGCAGTCCCAGAATGACTGACTCCCATATAGACAGCCACCCAGGAGTTCATTGTGCCCATAGAGAGCCAGTGGTAGAGTCAGCAGGCACTAGGCTGGACTGACCCTCCCCGACCCCATAGAGGAAGCACCCATCACCCTGCCTAGGCAGCCATTCCAGCTCTGCCCCCCCCCCCCAGGCCTGGACTTGTCCCTGGCTTGTCCACTTTAGCAACATCTATCCCTCAAGGACAGCATAGACTCCTCCTCTCCCCCAGACCTGTACTGCAGACTTCCACCTGTCACATCATGTCCAGAGCCCCTGGCCTAAGCTGAGTGCCTCTTCTCCAGGATGCTATGTCCTCTGACTCCCAGACCATCCTGAAGGATCAGGGAAACTCCTGGCCAAGGGCCTCTCCACTCACAGCACAGCCCACCCCTCCCCTCAGAACAGCTTCCCTGCTCTTCAACTGGCTGTCTTGTCAATAAGCTCTCAGTTCATTACAGCTCTGCTCATAGTCTCCGCCTGCCCACCTGCAGCACACTAAGATTAATCAGAGGATCTTTCAGGGTAACTTCCAGCTGTCTACAACAAAGGCAGTCAGCAGAACTCCAGCCACCTCAACAGACCGTCCTCACAGCCCATGCGACCCTTCTAACACCCATGTCACTACTCCAAAATACCCCACCCCTCAACAGAGACCATCCACTCCTGCCACACCCCCACAGGCATTTTCCAACAACTTGACACATAGGTCTGGTACCAGGAACCCCTCTATGTACACCCTAAATACCCAACACCCCCACATCATGTACTCAAGTCCCTCAACGGATCAGGGATCTCAACTACTCAACATTCAGATTGTGTACCCAACCAACCTACACACTGACCACATATA